GTGATGTCACTGAGGTGTTGATCGACTAGATCCGCGCAGGTTGTCTCCACCTCAGGCAGAGCTTCGGCTCGGACTTTCCTGTTCTGCGTCTGCACTCTGACAGAGGCGGAGAGTTCTCCTCTGGCCTTCTGAGAGCCTACTGTCGTGCACGAGGCAACCGTCAGACCTTCACGCTTCCGGACTCTCCGCAGCAAAATGAGATTGCTGAGCGCCGCATTGGCATGGTCATGGACGTCGCTCGTACGTCCATGATGCATGCGACTGCCCCCCATTTTCTGTGGCCGTTTGCGGTTAGGTACGCGGCGCATCAGATCAACCTTCACCCCAGGGTCTCCAGGCCGGAGACCTCCCCAGCTTTGCTGTGGACGGGGAAGGTTGGCGATGCATCTGCGTTCCGTGTCTGGGGATCTCGGGCGTTTGTCCGCGACTTGTCTGCGGACAAGCTGTTCCTTCGTGCTGCTCCTTGCATCTTCCTTGGCTTCCCCCCTGATGCGCCCGGGTGGCAGTTCTACCACCCCACCTCGCCCCATGTTATGTCCTCCCAGGACGTCATGTTTGACGAGTCGGTCCCCTACTACCGCCTCTTCCCCTACCGCACTCCGTCCCTCCCCCCGCCACCGCTCTTCCTTGTATCCGGTCCCCCCTCGGTAGACCCCCTCCCCCCTCAGGGTCCTGCCCCTTCAGGTGTGTCCCAGGTAGACGCAGTCGAGCCTGTCGAGGTTACTGGTGACTTTGGTGCTGCTGAGGGTGCCGAGCCTGGGGGTGCTGAGCGTGTGGGTGCTACTCCTGGGGGTGCTGAGCCTGGGGATGCTAAGCCTGAGGGTGCTACGCCTGGGGGTGCTGAGCCTGAGGGTGCTACTCCTGGGGGTGCTGTGCCTGGGGGTGCTATGCCTGGGGGTGCTGAGCCTGGGGGTGCTGTGCCTGGGAGTGCTACGCCTGGGGGTGCTGAGCCTGGGGGTGCTGAGCTAGGAGGTGCTACGCCTGGAGGTGTGGAGCCTGAGGGAGCTGGACCTGTTCGTGTGGCGTTTGGTGGTGCTGGGCCTGGAGGTTCTCCGGGTGCTTCGTCTTGGCGGGAGCCACTCTCTCCATAGGAGCTGCGCGAGTGGTTTGCCCGGCACTGGAGCCGTGCTGCTGGAGCTGGAGGTTCTTCGGCTACTGAGGGTGCTGGTGTCGCGGGTCCCGGAGGTACTCGTACTGGGAGTACTAGAGCTGCTGGGCCTGCGGGTCCGACTGGAGCTGGTGCTGCTGAGGGTGTTGGCGCTGAGACTACTGCTGGCGGTCCTGCTTGGGGTGCTACTGGTGCTGCTGGAGGTCCTGGAGCTACTTGAGCTGCTACGGGTACTGGAGCTGGAGGTGCTGCTGGAGCTGATGCTCCTGCTGGGGGTACTGGTGCTGTCCGTGCTGTGTCCGGAGTCGCCGCGCGGCCTCGACCGTACTTCGTTCCGCTCGTGCAGCAGGTTCTTGGTCTTCCGCCTTCTATTGGTCCTCCTTCTCCCTTAGAGTGTCCACAGCCTGTCCAGTCGCGGTCACAGTTACAGCCTGCCTCCCCCCTACCTGCTCCTTCTCCCTACACTGGTCCTACTGGAGGTCTTGCTGAGCGTCGTGAGCCTGCGTCTCGCCCTGCGTCGCCTGTCCGTGCTGCTCGCACTAGTGGTCGTGGTTCCCGTCAGCGTCCTCCTCCTATCCCTGGCACGCACCGAATGTCTCTTCGTCCGTCCACTGCTCTTCTGCGTGCCCCTTTGCCTTCTCCTCCTAAGTCCTCTCTTCCTGCTCTTGCCGACCCGGAGTCGGACTCTCTTCGTGCTGCCAGTCCTATTGTCACGCGTCTCCTTGCTACTGTCGTCACTGACCCTTCCTTTGAGTCCACTGCTGCGTCTGCCCTAGTTGCTGAGCTCGTCGACTTTGCTGCTCGCTGTCGCCTCGACTACGATGCTAGTCTTGTTGATGAGTCTGAGTCTGTCTGTCCTCCGTCGGTCGGGGGTGAGTGTGCCCTTGGCACGGACGTCCTTGACGACAGGCAGGAGGTGTTCCAGTGTCTGGCTGCTGCTTCACCTCATCTCGTGTCCGTATGCTTACCCTTGAGGGAGACCCGGATGCACTTGACATCCCGACTCCGCACTCTTACGCGGAGGCGATAGAGGTCCCTACTCCTCTCAGTGGCAGGCAGCTATGGACGCAGAGATGGCTTCTTGGAAGTCCACTTGCACCTACGTTGACGAGGTTCCCCCGCCTGGGGCGAACATCGTTAGTGGCATGTGGATCTTCAGGGTGAAGCGGCTGCCAGGTTCTCCGCCTGTCTTCAAGGCGCGTTACGTGGCTCGTGGCTTCAGTCAGCGGCAGGGAGTTGACTACTTTCAGACCTTCTCTCCCACCCCGAAGATGATCACTCTTCGGGTACTGCTGCACGTTGCTGCTCACCGTGACTATGAGCTTCACTCTCTTGACTTCAGCATAGCTTTCTTGCAGGGCAGCCTGCACGAGGAGATCTGGCTGCGCCGCCCACCTGGCTTCACTGGGTCGTTCCCTCCTGGTACCCAGTGGAGCCTCCGGTGTCCAGTCTACGGTCTCCTCCAGGCGCCCCGTGAGTGGCACAACACACTGAGGACTATGCTTGCGGCACTTGGGTTTGCTCCTTCTACTGCCGACCCGTCGCTGTTTCTGCGCACCAACACCTCTCTGCCGCCGTTCTACATCCTCGTGTACGTCGACGACTTGGTCTTTGCCACAGCTGACACTGCTGGACTCGCCCACGTGAAGTCCGAGCTGCAGAAGAGACACACGTGCACAGACTTGGGTGAACTGCACAGCTACCTTGGCTTGCAGATCACCCGGGACAGAGCACGCCGCACCATCACCCTGACTCAGTCACACATGGTGCAGCAGGTCCTTCAGCGCTTCGGCTTCACGTACTCCTCACCTCAGGCCACTCCTCTGTCTACTCGCCACTCGCTCTCAGCTCTGCCTTCGGATGAGTCCGTAGAGTCGAGTGGCCCGTATCCAGAGCTTGTTGGCTGCCTCATGTACCTGATGACCTGCACTCGACCTGACCTTGCATACCCTCTTAGCATTCTCGCACGCTATGTTGCTCCTGGGAGACACCGACCAGAGCACATGGCTGCAGCGAAGAGGGTGTTGCGCTACTTGTGCAGTACGTCGGGCATGGGGCTAGTGCTTGGAGGGCGGAGTCCAGTGGTCCTCACTGGGCACGCAGACGCTTCTTGGGTTGACGACCAGGCTACGCAGCGGTCGTCACAGGGTTACACCTTCGCCTTGGTTCCGGCTCTGTTTCGTGGCGGGCTACTCGCTCGTCTTCTGTTCTCGGCTCCAGTTGTGAGGCTGAGATCTACGCAGGGGCCATGGCTGCACAGGAGATTCGCTGGCTCACCTACTTGCTTATTGACCTCGGAGAGCCGCCTCGTTCTCCTCCAGTTCTGTACGTAGACAACAAGGCCATGCTGGCCTTATGTCGAGAGCAGAGACTGGAGCATAGAACAAAGCACATTGCTCTTCGCTACTTCCTTGCTTGTGAGCTACAGCAGCGTGGTCAGTTGCGGCTTGCGTACGTGGCCTATGAGGCCAACAGTGCTGATGTCTTCATGTCAGAATATATCTGTAACTGTCTGTAGATGTAGTTAGTGTAGTTATTATAAACTTCATTTGGTGGTGCACCTTCTTTGTTACTTTGCTATATGTTCTTGCAAACCTATAGTGAAAGCACTCGTTTTCCCTTTCTCAACTTTCTCGACATTCTCCTCAACCCTAAAACCTAAGCTACTAAGAGCCTCCTTAGTCATGGCTCCTAAGCTAACCTATACCTAGATTCTATCATGGTATCAGAGCAGGTACGTTCCTGCTGCCTTCCTGCTTCCGCTGCCTATCGTCTTGCCGTGCGCCTCTGGCGCACGGCGATTTTCTCCCGCCGTGCGCCCTGGGCGCACGGCGTCTTCCTGCCCCGCGCGTGGCCTGCCCTCACGCCGCCTGCGCGCCTACCTCACGTCCACGGGCGGGCCTGATTTTCCCGCCCGTACCCTCCACTTCGCGGCGCCTTGCGAGGTGCCGCTCCTGCTCGTCGCGACGCACCTGCGGGAACCCGGGCGTCGCCACTCCTGCTCGTAGCGACGCCCCTGCAGGACCCGCAAGGCGTCGCCTTGCTCGTCGCGACGCCACTGCGGGACCCGCGGGGCGTCGCCACTGCTCGTCGCGGCGCCCCCTGGACGCCGCCCCTACTCGTCGCGGCGCCCCTGGGTCGTCGCCCGTGCTCGTAGCGGCACTCTTTGGGCGCCGTCCCTGCTCGTCGCGGCGCCCTCCCCCCTGGCCACCGCCTCTGCCTCACCCGCGCCCGCGCCAGCGTTGCAGGCGAGCGCGGGCCTACCTTGCACCAGCGCCGCCCCTGGACCTCAGCAGCAGTGCCTGGAGCAGCCGCCCCAGCAGCAGCAGCCTCTGGAGCCGCCGCCCAAACAACAGCAGCCTCGGGAGCTGCCGCCACTGCAGCGGCCGCCCCAGCAGCAGCAGTGTCTGGAGCAGCCGCCCCATCAGCAGCAGCGCCTGGAGTAGCCGCCCCCAGCAGCAGCAGCCTCTGGAGCCGCCGCCCCAGCAGCTGCAGCGCCTGGAGCAGCCCGCCCCAGGCGCAGCAGCCCCTGGAGCCGCCGCTCAAACAGCAGCAGCCTCTGGAGCTGCCGCCACTGCAGCGGCCGCCCCAGCAGCAGCTGCCCGTGGAGCCGCCGCCACTGCAGCGGCCGCCCCAGCAGCAGCAGCGCCTGGAGCAGCCGCCTCAGCAGCAGCCCACGGCGCCGACCCCACAGCTGTATGCACCGCCGCTCCTGGACTCGGTATGGCTGCCCGTGCCTGTGCTGCCTGTTGCTGTCTGTGCCTGTATTGCCTGTTGGTGCCTGTGCTTGTGCTGCCTGTTGCTGCCTGTTGCTGCCCGTGCCTGTGCTGCCCGTTGCCGCCCGTTGCTGCCCGTGCCTGTGCCGCCCGTTGCCGCCCGTTGCTGCCCGTGCATGTGCTGCCCGTTGCCGCCCGTTGCTGCCCGTGCCTGTGCTGCCTGTTGCTGCCCGTGCCTGTGCTGCCTGTTGCCGCCCGTTGCTGCCCGTGCCTGTGCTGCCCGTTGCCGCCCGTTGCTGCCCGTGCCTGTGCTGCCCGTTGCCGCCCGTTGCTGCCCGTGCCTGTGCTGCCCGTTGCTGCCCGTGCCTGTGCCGCCCGTTGCCGCCCGTTGCTGCCCGTGCCTGTGCTGCCCGTTGCCGCCCGTTGCTGCCCGTGCCTGTGCTGCCCATTGCCGCCCGTTGCTGCCCGTGCCTGTGCTGCCCGTTGCTGCCCGTGCCTGTGCTGCCCGTTGCCGCCCGTTGCTGCCCGTGCCTGTGCCGCTCGTTGCGCCCGTTGCTGCCCGTGCCTGTGCTGCCCATTGCCGCCCGTTGCTGCCCGTGCCTGTGCTGCCCGTTGCCGCCCGTTGCTGCCCGTGCCTGTGCTGCCCGTTGCTGCCCGTGCCTGTGCTGCCTGTTGCCGCCCGTTGCTGCCCGTGCCTGTGCCGCCCGTTGCCGCCCGTTGCTGCCCGTGCCTGCGCTGCCCGTTGCCGCCCGTTGCTGCCTGTGCGTGTGCTGCCCGTTGCCGCCCGTTGCTGCCCGTGCCTGTGTTGCCGCTACAGCCCTTGTTGCTACTCTGCGCGCCCCGCGCGCCCTGCTGCCCTATGCGCCCTGTGAGCCCTGCTTCCCTGCTGCTGCCGCTACAGCCCTTGCTGTTGCCGCTACAGCCCTTGCTGCTGCCCTGCGCGCCCCTCACGCCCTGCAGCCCTGCTGCGCCCCGTGCGCCCTGCAGCTCTGCGCGCCCTGCAGCTCTGCGCGCCCTGCGCGCCCTGCTGCCCTGCTGCCCTGCGCTCCCTGCGTGCACTGCAGCCCTGCATGCCCCGCGCGCCCTACTGCCCTGCAGCCCTGTGCGCCCTGCTGCCCCACGCCCTCGTGCACTCTGTTCTGCTCTGTCGCCCTTGCCCCCCCCCACCCCCCCCCACCCCCCCCCTCCTCTTTGTCTCCTTGCTGCGTGTGCAGCCGTGGAACGGAGGCTATGGGGGTGGCGGGTATGGGGGTGATGGGTGTGTGTGATCCCCTTCCCCTCCTCCTCCTTTCTCTCCCACTGCTGCAGCTGCCGCTGGGGGGAGGGTGGGTGTGAGGGTGTGGGGGAGCTGGGAGAGAGGTGCCAGGGTTGTCGAGGAGTGTGGAAAGGGGAGTTGGAGGACTGAGGAAGGTTCCAGGAAGCAGCCGCCTTTGAGCCAGCAGCTTAACCTGCCAGCAGCTTCTCCTCAAATAGTCCCTCCTCCTCACTTGCCCTCTCCTCCTGCGCTTGGTGTACCCCTTCAGGGGTGTCTCTGCATTAGCTTCTGCTGCAGGCAGTTATGGGGGAGTGTCAGAATATATCTGTAACTGCCTGTAGCTGTAGTTAGTGTAGTTATTATAAACTTTATTTGGTGGTGCACCTTCTTTGTTACTTTGCTATATGTTCTTGCAAACCTATAGTGAAACCACTCATTTTCCCTTTCTCAACTTTGTCGACATTCTCCTCAACCCTAAAACCTAAGCTACTAAGAACCTCCTTAGTCATGGCTCCTAAGCCAACCTATACCTAGATTCTTTCACTTCACCAAGGCACTTGCGCCTTGTGATCATCAGCGGTTCTGCACTCAGTTGGGTCTTGTGCATGTCTTGCCTCACTTGCTCACCTCTTGACCTTGCTTGTACTTTTACATATATATATATATACCTGCTCTTGCTTGTCTAGCCTTACATATATATGTGTACTCCTGCATGTGAACTGGCCCTGTGGCCTTGAACTTGTGCTCGGAATGTGTGGTGACTTTGTGATCCACCGTGAGCTTGCTTTGCTTTGCTTTGCTTGACTGGTCTTGTGACCCCCTGTTCTCCCCCACTTTGCCTATAGGGGTGTGTCAGAACATTGTAGCTTATACACATTGTGTAGGCTGTAGTGGGGTATCCCATAGGGGGTACAACCCAATTAGGGTTAGTACTTGTACCCACTTGTTTCATAGTTCATTCATTCTCGTTTCTTCTCACAACCGTGCGACTCCAGACGGTTACGACACTGTCCGGACAGAATCCTCGCCACTACAGCTGCGTGATGCTGTATGCGTTGACGGTCCAGATGCTTTGTAACGGTCTGACCCTTCGTGTTACTTCTGCCCTTTCGTCTTCAGCCTCGGTACTGCATAGTTCGATTGCTGCTGTCAGGACTGCACAATAATGTTTCATTAATTAATATTCATAGCACCCCCCTTCACTCCTGGCCATAGCGAGTCTTGACTCGCTTGATTACTCCGCTGAGTTCGGAGCAGTGCTGGTATTGCTGACGTGACAGTCGCTTCGTAAGGAAGTCGGCTGCCATGTCACCCGTCGGACAATATATTAGGTCAACCTTGCCCTTGTCAACTTCGTCTTTGACGAAGAAGTACCGCAGCGCGATGCGTTTGGTGCGGCTGACGAATCCAGGTTTGTTCGCGATCCTGATCGCGCTCTGGTTGTCGTAGTGCAGGCAGAAGTTCGGCGAAGCTGGAATTTTCGCCTCCTGTAGCAGGTCCTGAAGGTAGAGACCTTCGCGAACAGCTGCTATTGCTGCGATGAATTCGGCTTCCACCGACGACAGTGCAACCAGCTCCTGTTTCTGCGAATTCCGGGAGATGGGCCGCTGGGCTTGAGGCGAAAAAGAAAGCCTGTCCTGGACCGTCGATTGTCGGGGTCAGCGGCGTGATCAGCATCCACGTAGCCCATGAGATTGAAGGGCGCGGTTGGGATGGTGGAGTAGCAGAGCCCAACATTGGGTGTGGAGATGAAGAACTGGAGAGCCCGCTGAAGATCTAGGAGATTCTCAGCCATTGGTTTTGCGAGAGTACTGAGCAAGCTGGCTCGCGATGTAGGAAAGATCGGGCCTGCAAGTAACGGAGGCGAAGAGTAGGCATCTCAGCTGCTGCTGGTAAGTCTGAAGCCCAGGAGTGGACATGACTTTGTTGTCAGTCTTAACTACTATGCGTAACAATATCAACAGACACGATCTTGACGAAGCCTGACAAACACCTAGGTTGGATGCTTTGTAACAATAAAAAATATTGTCAGCAAAGATGACATGGCTTCTAAGAGGACAGATATTGGCAAATCAAGTAGTTAAGAGGGATGTTCGAAAAGTCTGTGGTATCGCGGACAATGATAGCGTGCTTCTCGGCGGAATCCATGGCGGTCTCTGGTGTTCCATGGCTCGGCTTCCCGTGCCTGCCGGGTGTAGTTGGTATGCCAAGTTTGTATTTCTGTATCACATCATAGAAGCAGTAAGTGAGATTCTTGGTTTTCAAATTTACTATAGCGCGAATACCTTCAGTGGTGGTAGTGCCCCGAAGTCATCCAGCCCGACGGGTAATTATGTCACTGGCGATGAGAAACTCGGGTAGAGTGAGCTGTTTCAAATTGCTCTGTCCAGTGCTATCATATCCGTCCGGAACGGATAGTTATTGCATTGGCAGAGTCCGGTAGTGATTTCACCTTTCACGCCAGATTTTAGATCCACGATTCCACGAAACAGTGAATCTCAAGGCTGCCTTGCCTAGCTCTTCGATGTTCGAATATATCGTGGGTTGTTTGCAAAACTGGTGCGCCAGCGCGATTAGCTTGAAAAGTAGGTAGGGTGGTGAGTCACGCCCTTTTTGGTGAGGGCATACACACACCCCTCAACGCCTAAATGGTTGCTGGCGTCATCGAGACGATTTTGGCAAGTTCCGAGCTCCGACTCTACGGAAACTTCAAGGCATTGAACAGTTTGGCAGAATGACGTCATGGAAATTCGCGAATCGCGAGACATGCATATCCGCTGTAGGGCAACTACGTCGCAGGTACAAGACCACAACTGCTGACACCACTGCCGCTAAGGAAGCGCCACGTCGGATCCCTTTCTTGCTTTTCACAATTCCGCGAACCCAGGTTATGTTGGCATTGGTGGCTCTGCTCCTCCCCGCCATACAAGAACCACCGTCAAGCTGCTCTCGATCTCACATTCTGTCTCAATCCAACATCGAGTTTCTGAAACTACAGGTAAACAGGGTATTTTTCGTCACCCATTTCCACAGCTTCGCGAGTCGTCCGTGCGACAGTTTCGTGCTTATTGATAGGCCCATTGGATCATTCGCCGCAATCCGAAACTTGGCGGGGACAAGCAGCTAGCAATCCCTTCCAATCAGACACTCCCTTCCCTTTCCGCGAAGCGCATTTGTTCCCCCCCTTTACCTGTGGCCTTAGTTTCAAATAAAACTCCTGCTTGAGCTCTTTCCACTTTATTGCTGGGTTTGAGAAGTACCAATACCGTAGAAACCCTTGGGGCGTAACTTTCCCTGCTATCCTCTCTGACGGCAGTCGCCATGCCGGGCGACATTCCCGTCGGTGAGTTTGAACTTCCGTCGCTGCTATCTACTGTTGTAGAACCCGAAGCCTTCAAAATTAAGGACAAGCTTTGAGAGGTTTATGGCACGCTAACGTACGCTTTGGATAAAGAAAGTACACTCATTTCCGGTATGCTTTTTTTTTCACCTACTGCCTTACGCATTTTTATTCTCCTCTCTATTCGTTCCTATTCCGTTGCATTCGTCACAGGCAAACACGATCCTGCGGCGGCGGACCCTGCGGCATGGGCGCAGCTGCAGCAGCTCCCCCCGTCCGACCGCCTGCACACGGCAGTGCTCCCAAAGGGCGGAAGCACTCTGGGCGCGGGCGCGCTGGCGGACGGTAGAAAGGAGGGGGAGGCGGAGCTGGCGCAAGTGGACTTGCGCGCGCTGAGCCACGCGCAGCGGGAGCGGCTAGTGGAGCGCGCGCTTGAGACGCTCGATCAGGACAACGAGGCGTACCTTACGAAGCTTAAAGCCCGCCTCGACCGGTGAGGTTCCAGCGGGAAATAGCGCGAAATTATGCGCTGCGCGAGGCGGTGGCATGGAGTCGGACAATTGCAAGAAACCCTGTATCCATGTCGCGTTGTCGGCGGTCTGCGAAGGAGACAGAAAGAAGTGAGATTGTACGAAGCATCTACCGGTTCAGGGAAAGTACGGGAAACGGACATGGCAGCAGTTTTGGGCTCGATTTTCCATACGTAATCCAACCTCCGTCCCCTCTTCTCCCCTCCCCTCCCCTCTTCTCCCCTGCATTCCCTTCCCTCTTTCCCTGCTCCTCCGAACCGCGCCGCCCAATGTCATCCAATGGCGAGCAGCGTGGGGCTGGCCGTGCCGGCGGTGGAGGTGCGCTTCGAGGATGTGCACGTCGAGGCGGGCGTGTACGTCGGCACGCGCGCGCTGCCCACGCTCCTCAACTTCACGCGCAACTCGCTCGCCGTGAGTCGCACTCGCTTGCCGTGAGTTACGCTCTTGACGCGAGCTTCCCTTGCGCCCAGTTTTCCGCCGCGACACTCGCTTCCCGCCATCGCACATGTGGCTCCAAGTTTTCACTTCCTGAACCCCCCCGTTTATTTCACAAGTTGTGAAATTAACTTCGAAGTTTCTGCCTTGCTTTCCCCCCCCTTCTCCCTCCCACCCCCCGCCCCCCGCCTTTACCCACCCCTTCAGGCGGCGCTGCGGTCGCTGCGCGTGGTGCCGGATTCGCGGCGCCCGTATCCGATCCTGCACGGATGCTCGGGCGTGCTGCGGCCGGGCCGCATGACGCTGCTGCTGGGGCCGCCAGGCGCCGGCAAGTCCACTCTCATGCAGGCGCTCGCGGGCTGCCATGACAAGTCGCTCAAGGTGCGTGGGGCTTGTAACGGGGATGTGGAACAAGCCTCGTGACGGAATTGAGAAGGTGGAAACATGTAATGGGCCGTTTTTCACAAACCTCGTATGAGTGAGTTTGGGCGTCGTCCATTGAGGCTCAATGCTCTGTTCGCTGCTCCCCTTACCCATTTTTCTCAACTCCACTCCTCTTCCCTCGATGTCCATTCCCTCCCTTCCCTTCGCTCCCCATATTCCCTCACAGGTATCTGGCAGCGTGACCTATAACGGGCATGCTCTTAACGAGTTCGTACCGGAGCGCACAGCAGTGTACGTGCCGCAGAACGATGAGCACATTGGCGAGATGACTGTCCGGGAGACCCTCGACTTCTCCGCGCGCCTGCAGGGCCCGGGGCTCCGCAAAGGTGCGCGTGTGCGCCTGTTGGGGGGCTGTGAGGGGTGGGCCTTTGGAAAGGTGCATGTTTGCGCGCGCGGGGTTCTGAGGTTTCAAAAACAGGGGTTCGGGCGCTCGCACGTGCCTTGTCTGTTTGCCTATCTTCAAGTTCCGGTGGTCTTCTTTCATCACTTCCTCCCTGTTCCCCTCTTTCACTTCCCCGACTTCCCCCCACTGACCTTTCGCCATTCCACCCTTCCCCCTTATCGCCCTTCCCTTCTCTCCCCACCCCCCCCCCCCCCCCCTGGTGGCGCAGACCTAGTGGAGGAGCTGGAGAGGCGCGAGGCGGAGCAGGGCATTGTGCCGGATCCCACTATGGACGCCATCATGAAGGTAGGGTTCAGGGTTTTCAGGTTCGGGGATTTGGTTTGGTAATTGGGTTTCCAGTGTTGGGTTTGGAACTCGGGGTTCAGAGTCTGGGCTAAGGGTTTACCTCGTGGATTGGTACAGACCATGCCCTGTGATGCTTGGTCGCTTGGAGAAAAAAATCAGCTTCTCTGTCTGTCCATGCGCCGTGATCCTTCCTTGGCTCTTCCCTCTCCATCTGGCATCTCAAGTGGTTCCCATCCGTTGTTAGTTTCTTAGTATTTGTGCCTCATACTCCCTCGCTCGCCCTCTCGTTGCTCTTTCCCCCCTGCAGGCGATGGCGCTGGAGGGCAACCCCACCAATGTGATCACGGATTATGTGCTCAAGGTGAGGTGGTGGTGGGGGATGGGATGGTGCTGGTGCTGGTGATGGTACCAGTGATGGTAATGGTGATGGTTCTAGGTTCTTGGGATGGAAGGGGCGGTGATGAGGGCAACCCCACCAACGTGATCATAGACTATGCGCTCAAGGTGGGTGTGGTGGGTTGGTGGTGATGGGAATTACGATAATGACAGTGAGTCCCCCCCACCTCAGCTTCTCCCCCACCTCAGCTTCTCCCCCACCTCAGCTTCTCCCCCACCTCAGATTCTCCCCCACCTCAGATTCTCCCCCACCTCAGCTTCTCCCCCCACCTCAGCTTCTCCCCCACCTCATCTTCTCCCCACCTCAGATTCTCCCCCACCTCAGCTTCTCCCCCACCTCAATCTTCTCCCCCACCTTCATCTTCTCCCCCACCTCATCTTCTCCCCCACCTCATCTCTCCCCCCACCTCATCTTCTCCCCCACCTCATCTCTCGCCCCCCACTCTCTTCTCAGCCCCTTGGTCTGGACATCTGGAGTGACTCAACATCCGTTGTCGTCCAGCCTGGTTAGGATACCTGGCTTTCACCCAGGCGACCCGGGTTCAAATCCCGGCAACGGAGCTTTTCTCCTTCTTGGAGGACTTAAGTTTGTGTAAACATACCCCTTAGCCAACCTGCGCCCCCAACCCTCGTCCCCGCCCTCCCTCTTCCTGTGGCAGATCCTCTGTGCAGACATCTGTGCAGCCACAGTGGTGGGCAACAACAGGCTGCGAGGCATCCCAGGCTTTTAGCTGTCCCTCACATGCCACAAGTCGGCACGGCACACACCCATTTGCCTCCCACTTCTCCCTCCTCTCCGTTCCCCCTGCCCTGCCCCTCCAGATCCTAGGCCTGGACATCTGTGCGGACACAGTGGTGGGAAACGACATGCTACGGGGCATCTCCGGCGGGCAGAAGAAGCGAGTCACCACAGGCGTGTCTCTCGTCGGCCCCAAGCAGGTGCTGCTGATGGACGAGATATCCACCGGTTTGGATTCCTCCACCACCTTCCTCATCACACGCTGCCTGCGCCACCTCACGCACCTCCACGCCGCCACCACGCTCGTGGCTCTCCTCCCAGCCTGCCCCCGAGACCTACGAGCTCTTTGACGACGTGCTGCTGCTCTCCGAGGGCCATGTCGTCTTCCACGGGCCCCGAGAGCAGGTGGTGCCGTTTTTCAAACCAGCTGGGCTTTGAGTGCCCCGAGAGGAAAGGCGAGGCGGATTTCCTGCAGGAGGTGACGTCCCATGAAGGACCAGGGGCAGTACTGGAAGGCGGGAGCGGGCGGCGGCAGTCAGCCGTATCACTATGTGCCGGCGCAGGCGTTTGAGGCGGCATTCAAGGAGACGCAGATCGGCAAGGCCACTGCTGCCCACCTCTCGGTACGTGCTGTAATCTTTCTCTTGTTGCTCTTGTGCCTCAGCCCCATGCTTGCCCCCTCAGCCCCACGCTTGCCCCTCAGCCCCACGCTTGCCCCTCAGCCCCACACTCTCCCCACTCCTGCCATCTTGCTCCCACAATTTTCCAACCCCCACCCTTCATTCCCCCGCTCCTCATTCCCCAACCCTCCACTCCCCACCCCGTCCCACCACCAGGTGCCCTATCCAAAAGAAAAGAGCCCCCAAGGCGCGCTCGCTCACAAGCGCAACGCGCTGCCCACCTCGGAGATGTTCCGCGCGGTCTTCGAGCGCGAGTGGCTCCTCATGAAGCGCAACGCATTCCTCTACGTGGCGCAGACCATCCAAATCATCCTCATCGCGCTCGTCACCATGACGGTCTTCTTCCGCACCACGCTCGACATCTCCCTGCAAGACGGCAACTACTACCTGGGCGCCATGTTTCTTCGGCCTCATCATGATGCTCTTCAACGGCTTCACAGAGCTCACGCTGCTCGTCATGCGCCTGCCCATCTTCTACCGCCAGAGGGACACGTTTCTGTACCCGGCGTGGGCGTGGGAGGTGCCCATGGAGCTGCTCTCGCTGCCCTTCTCCGCCTGGGCGTCCATCATCTGGACCGCTGTCACCTACTATGTCATCGGCTTCGCACCGGAACCGGGAAGGTGGGCGAACTTCTCGCGTGACTGCCGTTTTTTTTCCACTCTACTTCCTCATCCACCTTTGTCGCTCATGCAACGTCCCTCTTTCCTGTTTCTCTGCCCCTTTTTTTTTTCTCTCCTCGCCGTCCCCTCACAGGTTCTTCATGCAGATGCTGCTCTTCTTCCTCATCCACCAGGTGGCCATCTCCCTCTTCCGCCTCATAGGAGCGCTGGGCCGCAGCATGGTGGTCTCCCAACACCTTCGGCTCCTTCGCCCTCATCCTCCTCTTCCTGCTCGGAGGCTTCGTCCTCGCTAAGGGTGAGTGTTGCGCTCGCTCTTATAACGAGTATGTATGCAGGGTGTGGTGTGGAAACAGCGCTGGGTCGCAGCATGGTTGCTTCCAGTTCCTTAAGCTCCTTTGCCTCATCCTCCTCTTCCTGCTCGGTGGTTTCATCCTCGCTAGAGGTGAGTTAGCTTATAACGAGTAGGGGAAGCGGCTTCGGTACAATGTGTATGTGCTGCAGGTACCACATGCTGTGCTACAGGTACCACATGCTGTGAAATCTCATATCGTCCTTGTGTCTCCCTCGTATCAGCTCCCATCTCCCCTCATATTCTTCCCCCTCTCTCTCCCCCCTCCCATTTGATTTTCCACTCTTTCGATATCCTTGGCACGCACCACTGCCCCCCACCACCATTCTCCCTTTTCTTGCGCCCGCACCGGCAGACGGCAGCCACGACGTGTGCATGTGGGCGCATGGGCTCTCCTCATCCCGCCCCCACCATCATCGCTCCCTCTTCTCCGCCCCACTGCTTCCATGCAGGCGACATTCACAACGTGTGGATCCTGGCGTATTGGATCTCGCCCCTCATGTACGGCCAGAACGCCCTCGCTGTCAACGAGTTCCTCGCGCCCCGCTGGAACGTCGTGAGTGCTTCCACTTGCCTCTGTTGTTTGGATGCGATTCCCAACTGGATAGGACTCACAGCCAGCTCAGATTCATGTAAGCAACTGTTGGCAAGCATTCACGTTTGTGCCCCCATCTCTTCCTCTCACTCTTCCGCCCTTCCCTCCTCCCTGTGTGCCCCTGTGAAGTCCAGGGGCTTGCTTGAGAGTCGCTCATCCTTCTCAACCCTTCCTGCATCTCTACCCTCCCCCTGTCCCTGCTCGTACGCCTGTGCAGTCCGGCGGGTCCCCTCTTTCCCCCTACGGCCCACCATGGGCAGGTGCTGCTGGAGAGCCGCTCGCTACGACGGATGACAGGTGGCTCGGCATCGGTGTGGCGGCGCTCATCGCTTTCATCATCCTGTTCAAACCTCCTCACCATACTCGCCCTCGCCTACCTTGATCGTGAGCTTCGAGCCCCTTGTTCTCCCACGCCGCCCTGACCTGCCTTATTGCCTTTATCCCCCTCTTCAACGCCCTCTCCATCCCGCCCCTGCCTACCTCAATGGTAAGCCCCACATGTCTTGCAATGTCTCGTTCCCTGCCCACGCATTGCCTTGATCCCCCTTGTCAACCTCGCCACCAGCACCTGTCTTGCCCCTTCTGACACGGCACCTGTTGCTGATTATCAGCAGCAGCTTGAGGTGCAGCGAAACACCAGCTCGGGGTGTGATGCCTGTGCTGTGCTGCCCAACAGCACTGCCCCACAGCACTGCCACACAGCACTGCCCCACAGCACTGTCCCACAGCACTGCCCCACTTCACTGCCTAGCTGACCGCTCTTGCCTCTCTATCGCCCCTCTCTCCATCCCGCCCATCTGTGCATCGGTGCAGCGTGGGCCCGTCCCCAGCCGGTGGTGTCGGAGGAGCAGCTGGAGACGAAGCACGCCGCCCGCACAGGCGAGGTGTTGGGCACAGCGGGCGGCAGCAGAAAGCGGTCCACGCGGCAGGGCAAGGGCACCAGCAGCGCGCTCGACCGCTACTGCACCAGCCACACGGCTTCTCGAGGTGAGGGGTTTGAGAACGGGTTCACAGGTGTTGTATGGAGTCAATGGCAGGGCAAGGGCACGCGCAGCGCTCTCGACCGGTACTGCTCGAGTCACACAGCTTCTTAGGGTGCTGGATAGGGATGAGGCAGGGCAAGGACCACGGCACCAGCAGAGCTCTTGATCGCTTCGACTGCAGCCAAACTGCCACACTCCATTGTGACCTGCAGCAAACTGCCACACTCCATTGTGACCTGCATCAAAGACATGCCGCCTGCATCAAAGACACTGCACGGGCCTCTCCTCTCCCTGCACTGACTATACCTGATTCATCTCTGATTCATCTCTGATCTCTGATCATCTCTGATTCATCTCTGATTCATCTCTGATTCATCTCTGATTCATCTCTGATTCATCTCTGATTCATCTCTGATTCATCTCTGATTCATCTCTGATTCATCTCTGATTCATCTCTGATTCATCTCTGATTCATCTCTGATTCATCTCTGATTCATCTCTGATTCATCTCTGATTCATCTCTGATTCATCTCTGATTCATCTCTGATTCATCTCTGATTCATCTCTGATTCATCTCTGATTCATCTCTGATTCATCTCTGATTCATCTCTGATTCATCCTCTGATTCTTGTCATTTTCCAATCCATCCACGTCCCCTCTTCTCTTTTCCTCTTCTCATCTCACTCCTTGGCCCCCCCATTTCCAGACGTGGAGTCACAGCCCGAGTCCACCGAAGGCAAGCACGGCATGGTGCTGCCGTTCGCAGCCGCACTCGCTCTCCTTCCACAACGTCAACTACTTCGTCGACATGCCCGCCGAGATGCGCGCTGAGGGCGCCCCCCCGACGCGCGCCTGCAGCTGCTGCGAAACGTGTCGGGCGCCTTCCGCCCCAAGGTTGCTGACGGCGCTGGTGGGCGTGTCGGGCGCGGGCAAGACGACGCTGATGGACGTAGCTGGCGGGGCGGAAGACCGGGGGGTACATCGAGGGGGACGTGCGCGTGTCGGGCTTCCCCAAGGTGCATGAGGACGTTTGCACGCGTGGCGGGGTACTGCGAGCAGAGCGACCATTCACACGCCGCAGGTGACGGTGCACGAGAGCCTGCTCTTCTCCGCGTGGCTGCGCCTGCCGGCTGATGTGGACGTGGAGGTGAGGGAGGAGTTTGTGGAGGAGGTGATGGAGCTGGTGGAGCTTGATAGTCTGCGCGACGCCATGGTGGGGCTGCCGGGGGTCAATGGGCTCTCCACGGAGCAGCGCAAGCGCCTCACCATCGCCGTCGAGCTCGTACGCCAACCCTTCGATTATCTTTCTGGATGAGCCCACCAGCGGGCTGGATGCACGCGCGGCGGCCATTGTGATGCGCACCGTGCGCAACACGGTGGACACGGGGCGCACGGTGGTGTGCACCATTCACCAGCCGTCCATCGACATCTTTGAGGCCTTTGATGAGGTGCGTGCGGATGAAGTTGGTGGCCGCTGAAGTGCATCAGTTTATTTCTCACTTGCACTTCCAATCGAACTCCCCATCTCGCCCCTCCCTTCTCGTGTTGTTCTCGTGTTGTTTCTTGATTCTATGGTGTTTTTCCCTCCCTTTTTAATTCTTCCCTCCCTCTCTTCTCCTCCCATCCCCCCACCCCTTCTGCCCTACAGTTGCTGCTGATGAAGCGGGGAGGCGAGGTGATATACATGGGCCCCTTGGGCACGGACTCGCGGCTCATGATAGACTACTTCCAGGCCATCCCAGGCGTGCCGCCCATCCGCGCCGGCTACAACCCGGCCACGTGGAATGCTCGACATCTCCACCCCAGCCATGGCCGAAAAACTCAACGTAGATTTTGCCGAGATACTTCGCACAATCAGACCAGTTCCCGCCGCAACGAGGAGCTCATCGAGTCGCTCAAGACGCCCCCGCCGGGCCAGCAGGACCTCGCCTTTGCGACAAAATTCTCCACCAGCTACCCGTCGCAGTTTTGTGGCCAATCTGTGGAAGCGTCACGCAATGTACTGGCGGGCGCCCGACTACACGCCGTGCGCTACTTCTTTCTGTGTCATCATGGCGCTGCTCATCGGTGGGGTGTTCTTCGGGCTGGGCAAAGCAGCGCAGCACGCAGCAGCAGCTGCTGAACGTGATGGGCGCCATGTACACGGCCTCGCTCTTCATGGGTTGGAACAACGCTGCTTCCGTGCAGCCCATTGTGGCCATCGAGGCGCACCGTCTTCTACCGCGAGCGCTCCGCAGGGCTGTACGGCGCCGTGCCGTATGCCCTGGCGCAGGGGGCGATCGAGGTGCCGTATGTGTTGTGCAGACATTCATCTACTCGGTGATCACGTACGCGATGATCCAGTTTGAAGTGGACGGCTGCCAAGTTCTGGTGGTATACGCTCTTCATGTTCCTCACGCTTTTTCTACTTCACGTGCTATGGCCTCATGGCCATCGCCATCTCGCCCAACGAGCAGCTCGCCATGGTCATCTCGGGATTCTTCTTCTCCTTCTGGAACCTTCTCTGTGGCTTCCTCATCACCCGACCTGTGAGTAGCCGCTGCTGCGCTGTGTTTTGACGTTGCCTGCTATCTTTTCCTGCTGTGTCTTGCCTGCAATATTTTGGTTGCTACACTTTTCAGTACTGTTGCTGCCCTGTTCCTGCTGTGTCTTGCCTGCCATATTTTGACTGATACACGTACTGTTGCTCTGCCCTGCCCGGTCCTTTTGAAGAGCCAAGTTCACTCAATCAGTCATTGCCTCTGCTCCTGCTTGCCTGTGCTGCAGCAAATTCCGGTGTGGTGGCGCTGGTTCTACTGGATTAACCCTGTCTCCTGGACCCTCTATGGCCTCAACGCCTCACAGGTAATAACCCCCGTCCACATGCTGCACACATGCTCTTGTCGCCTCTCAATGCCCTCATGCTGCATACATTCTCTTTCTGCTCATTCTTGTTTCTGTTTTCTGGTGTCGTGCTGCTTATGCTGCGCTACTCGCTCACCACACGCATTTCCCTGCCCTGCATGGTGCAATCTCTGTGTTTCTCTTCCGCACACCTACAAACCCCTCTTCCACTGTCCACACCCACAACCTTCCTTGGGTTGGGTCGCCCGTCCATAGCACCAGCTATGATCCTCCATTGATTAGCTGCCGCATGCCTGTTCCTTCTATCAGCCCCAAGGCACCCTCATTACCCCCTTCCTTCCATCCTTCTGCCTCTCCCCCTCCTCACTCCTTTTGATCGCAGCTGGGAGATGACGACGACCCTGAAGGTGCCAGGGGAGACCCCGGACCCAACGGTGCAGGTGTATCTGGAGGAGGTGTTTGGTTACCAGCACTCATGGCTCGGCTATGTTGTGCTTGTCAACATCGGATTCATCATCCTCTTTTTTACTGTCTTCGCTTATGCGCTCAAGAAGCTCAACTTCCAAAATCGCTAACCAGTCATCATATGAACATGGTGGATGATTTTTTCCCCTCTATTTCAGATTATTGTAACTTTCTGTAGTTACACCTGTGTATGATTGTTGAATGGGAGCTGCTTTTGCCCATATCAGGCTAATGACGCCCTCTTGCTCACAAATAAAGTCGCCCATATCAGATTGGTTTTGGGATAGTCTGAAAAACAGAGTTGGCTGATACGCATACCCTACGTTCTTGGATTCTATGCGGTCTACTATCACGGGCGCAGAATCATTCTAAGAGCTCACTTGCTCTTGGTAGCTCCTTGCACAATAATTGCAGAATACACAAGCTGGTTCAATCTTGTGACAGCAGAGCCCCAACAATGCAAGTGAAACTGCTCTTGTTTCAATATTCCACTTGCACTCTGGGTCTTGTGTGCCCAACCTTCCGGTCGTGCATAGTACCCATGTGAACGAATCGGTACCGTATACGGTACAAATCAGTGGTACCGTATCGCCCCGGATATAAGCGCAGGCCTATTAAGAGCGCATGCGCTTATATCTGGAGCAATGCGCTTATGGCCAATCCTCAATTATAAGCGCACCCCCTGTAAAACCCTGTTTATTATAAGCGCATGCATAATTTTAAATTTAAAACCTCCTAAACACGTCAACGAGTTTCAAATTTGAAGCGAGCATAATCGCTTCGTTTGACTCTCGAAGACCTCAGAAGCTGCGCGTCTGCGGAGATAACTGCAGCAACGGGAGCTAGGCTACGGGCTAGGCACGTGTGCTCGTGTGATCTCTGCGTTCTCTGTTCCTTAGTCGTTTTCCTTGTGCGCACACTACTTGCTAGTTCACGGGGAAAATTGGCAAGAGTTTTACTAGGAAAAGTTTAGAATAGAAGTTACAATGAAGTTGGCATAGCAAGACTACATCAGAGCAAGCATTCAGGTCGGCCAACTGCCAGCGCAGCTTGGTCGACCGCGTTCCAGCACGACTTGGTCGACCGCGCTCCAGCAAGGCAAGGTCGACTGCGTGCCAACGTCGCAGGTTGACGGCGTGACAGCGTTGCTCACGCAGGACAGCAGTGCACCCTGCCTCGCAGTTGTGCGCAGATGATTGGCGTGCAGAGTCTCGTCACCTGCACAGCGCACACACCACCACGTCAACCTCGAGCTGACGACTGCCTCTGGTCCGCCACGACGACCTCGGGATACCACCACCGAGGTCGTGCTCGCCAACTTCGCCTGGGCGACCGTCGCACTCCTCCGCAGCACTTCGTCACCCAGGTAACCTGGTCGACCAGGCAACCACGTCGACCAGCAGCTCCCGTCCGTCGACCTCCCAAGTCGACGACCACCTCCACGTCGACCTCACCAGGTCGACGATACCATCGGTCGACCTCCTCCAGGTCGACGTCCCCTCTGGTCGACCAGCTCCACATCGACCAGCACTTCTGGTCGACCTACTCCTCTCGTCGACTAGCACAGTTGTCGGCCGACCACCCACGTCGGCCACCCGAACTGGCGTCACGAAGTTGACGCCCCGCTACTCGACGCCCGACTGCTCGGCGTCCTGCGTCAAGGTCGACGTCGGCCCTCCTCCCGTCGACCAGCCGACCACCGAAGTCGGCTTCGACGTCCTCCGCAGGTCGACTCCCAAGTCGACCTCCCCGAAGTCGGCACCACCCTGAAGTTGGCGCCCGTGCAGTGGTCCCCCGTGCAGGTCGACCTCCTCGTCGACCAGCTTGCCCACTACTGCAGGTCGGCTGCTCCCCTCACACCCGACCACAAAGTCGGCTCCGCCCAAGCGAGGACGGGGCCAATACCCAACTCCCGTTGACACTCCCCTGCCGCGTTCACGCTTGGGCACCCAGCCCATATGGCAGTACAGCTCGGAGACTAGCTCGTCGACGTGCACCCAACACATAGCACGTCGTCCACACGCACCAGCCAT